GGGAGATTTGAGGTCTCAGAATGATCAAGGGATGTAGTGAGAGCCTTGGTTTAGAGGTCCCCTGCTCTCTCTACAAAGGGAGAGTTTTGCTCTCAGTGAGAAATTCTGAAGCTGGCTGGCTGAGACTGTCCAGGAACCTTGAACCTCTAGTGGTTTGAAAGAAGAGGACAGGCCTTGACCCATCAGTCTTCCATGGCCTCCACACACTCAGGGAAAGACAAGTTTAGATTGAACAGAGGGCAGAGAACCAGGCTGTGCAGCCCAGCCTCGCCCCACCGGGCTCTGGCCCTTTCCTCAGTCTCCTTCCCTCCCTGGCTCAGACCCCGTCCCCTCCCCCTCCTCTCCCTGCAGTGGCCTATGAGGAACTCCTGGACAACCGAAAACTGGAAGGTCAGTGAGGGTGCAGGTGGAGACCAGGCCTGGCCAGGCGGGGAGGGCGAGGTCAAGGCTGGGGGCAGGAGGCCAGGCCCCGGAGGGGTGAAGTCAAGGGTTCAGGCCCCAGGGCAGGAGGCTGGGAGAGCCCAGGAGTGGGCACAGCCTTGGTTCATTTGCTATTCTTCCTCCCTCCCCAGTGACCCAGACTACAGACCCATCACGGCAGCTGGAGGGTGGGAATCTCGCTTTGGCCATCCTGTTGCCCCTGGGCTTGGTCATTGTCCTTGGCATTGGCGTTTACATATACTACACTAAGTAAGTACCCTACTCTTGAGTACTGGCCAGGGCGGGTGGCTTACCTGGCATGGGAGTAGGTAAGGGGGTTCAAGGACGCACACATAATAAGAACGTTCTCCTCTACCTTTCCCAGGCTACAAGGAAAATCCCTCTTTGGCTTCTCTGGTTCTCACTCCTACAGTCCCATTACCGTGGAGTCAGACTTCAGCAACCCACTGTACGAAGCGGGGGTGAGTCCCTCCCCTCCCCATGGGACACCTCATCTCTCTGTCTAGCCTCAGGACTTCACAGTCTTCCTCCAAAGTCCCTGATTTCAAACTCAGCTGCCCACAAAAGCCATGACCATACCAAAGCAAGCTGTGTGTAGACAGTAGGGACTAACAGGGCTATAGCAAACTGGAGAACCGGAACCCATCTACAGGAGACAGCGCTGATCCATAGTAGGCGCTTAGGCCCAACCTCCAGATCTTCCAATTGTTCAAGACATTTCAGAAATTCTTATCTTTGTCATCTTAAGATACTATAGCATATGTGCATGCTAGATTCTACCCAGGAAGCTTGCTTGCCTTTTTTTTTTTTTTTTTTTTTTTTATATAAGGTTTTATTTTTTTTTTTTAGACAAGGTCTCACTATGTAGGCCTGCTACCCTGGAACTCACTATGTAGACCAGGTTGTCATGGGACTCTCAGAGATCTGCCTGCCTCTGCCTCCTGTATGTTTGGGTTTAAAGTGTACACCACCCCATCTGACTGAGAATCTTTACTGAAAAATAGTTTCTAAAAGTTTTAAAATTGTTTTATGTGTATGGGTGTTTGCCTGACTGTATGTCAGTAAATCAAGTACATAAAGTGCCCTCAGAGACTGGGCAGTGGTGGCGCACGCTTTTAATCCCAGCACATGAGAGGCAGAGGCAGGTAGATTTCTGAGTTTGAGGCCAGCCTGGTCTACAGAGTGAGTTCCAGGACATCCTGGGCTACACAGCGAAACCCTGTCTTGAAAAACCAAAAAAAAGAGAAACCCTGTCTCAAAATAATAAAGTTATTTTTGAGAGTGTATGTGGTACTAGAGATTGAATTTAGTGCCTTATGTAAAGTCAAATATTTTCAATGTCTCATTCTCTTTTGTATTTTGAGACAAGACTCTATAGCACTAGCAGGTCTGGAACTCTCTATAAACCAGGCTGGCCTCAAATTCACAGACCCACCTGTTTCTGCCTCCAAGTGCTGGGATTAAAGGTGTGTGTATCATCATGCCTGGCTTTCCAGTCCTCTTTTTGAGACAGGGTTTAAATTTTTCAGTCTGGCCTTGAACTACTTTTATAGCCCAGGCCAGCTTTGAATTGTGATCTTCCTGCCTCTACCTCCCTAGTAGTTAGGATTACAGGTTGGTACCACCAGACTCAAGACAAATATGTCTTCCCCCTTCTTGTGGATGCCTCTTCACCGCTGACTGACTCTGACTTATCTGCTCTTTCTGTCCTCAGGATACGAGGGAGTATGAAGTTTCCATCTGAGCCCCAAATCTCAGTCTGCAGGACCCAGGACCTCCCTGTTCTCTCATCGTTCTGGGCAGTGAGCAGCATAGGACCTGGTCTCTGGCTCCCCTCACCCCCTGCTGTGTAAATAGTCTCCCCAATCCATGAGGGGGCTTTGATGGCCCTGGAGACCCTACAGTAAATAAACCAGCATCCTGATGCCCAAAGCCGCCTCTTCTTAGTTGCCAAACAAGGGGCCTTCCATCCCCTACTCTACTGATTTCTGGACCCAGGGAAGGGAACTCAGCCCCTTGCAACTCTTGGGGCTCCTCCAGGCCAGGGCCCGACTCAAGAACTGTCCCCCAGCTCTACTATCCCCATGGCCATGAAGGCTCCCTACCCCCAGATGCCTGACTGCTGCTGGGCCTTGGAGGGTGAGGAGGATGAAGGGAGAGGTGGGCCAAACCCATCCCTTCCCCGCGTCTCCCCGCCTACACTATCTCCTCCTTTATTTGCTTCTGAGTTCTTGTTTTTGAGCAATAAACAGAAAGTCACCACTTGTAACTGAGCTGGTGAGTCTGGAAAAATGGGTCTCAAGGTGTTGGAGCCGGTGGTGGGGAGCCCTCTGGAGAGTGGGTTTGGGGAAATGGAAGCTCTCCGAAGGGAAATGGAAACGTACTTTGGTGCAGTATCCCGGTGTCCTCCTGGAGTCCTAGCCTGTACCCAGTGTGGTGGCGCATAGCTTTAGTCCTAGCCTGTACCCAGTGTGGTGGCGCATAGCTTTAGTCCTAGCCTGTACCCAGTGTGGTGGCGCATAGCTTTAGTCCTAGCTGTACCCAGTGTGGTGGCGCATAGCTTTAGTCCTAGCCTGTACCCAGTGTGGTGGCGCATAGCTTTAGTCCTAGCTCTTGGGAGGTAAAAGCAGGCACATTTTAAGGGCAGCCCGATCCTACACAGAGAGTTCCAGGCCATCAAGAACTACATAGTGACCCAATCTCAGAACAGACAAACTTGGCTTGAGGCTCTGGCCCTGTAGAGGGCTAGCTGGCACAACCAATCTCTCCACTAGTTCTTGCTAGGTTCCTCTAGCTAGAAGAGCCATACCCTTCCATTCGTCTCATGAATAGTTTCCCCTTTTTGAAAATGTTTGCAAACATTTGTAAAGGAGAGAACACTCTGTGTTCTTTCTCCTGCCGACTTTTTGTGGCTTATTTATTGCCCCTCTCTCAGTGCTATTGCCCCGGAAATAGGGTTGCACTGTGTAGCTTGGCTGTCCTAGAACTTGCTCTGTAGACCACATACACACCTCTTGCCTCAAACTCATGGAGATCTGTCTGCCTCTGCCTCTCAAGAGTTGGGATTAAAGGCATGCACCATGCTCCAGGCTGGTCTTGAATTTGAAATCCTGCCCAGCCTCTCAAGTGCTGAGATTATAGGTGTATGCCACCATGCCTAGCTTCCTGCTAAGTCAAGCATACTGCTGTTACATGAATGCCATTCTATCAAGAATGCCCCTTTCACCATCATATCTGACTCACATTATGAGCAGATCAGAGCCTCCTTTTGGTGCTGAGACTTGAACACAGGATATCACATATAAGTAGGCCATGTGGCTTATACTCCCAGCCCAATGTCTAGCCTATTTGTCTAATTTTTTAATCAAATGACCTGAATTTTACTAACTTGAAATTGTGTACTCTAGCTGAATGTCCAGAGGATGTTTGAAAAGATGCTGAAATATTTAAAAAGGGGTGGATTTTAGGGGACTCGGGTGAAGTGGCTTTGATTACAGCTTAAGTAAATTTGAGACAGCTTCTGTAATTGAATACTTTTGTTTTTTAGATAGAGCCTTATGTAATCCAGGTTGGTCTTGAACCCTAGATCCTCCAGCAGGAGCCTGCTGAGTGTGTAGGATTCCATATATATTGTGGTTGGTTTTTTTACCTTTTGTTTTTGAGACAGGACATCTCTGTGTAGTCCACACTGCCTTGATACTATGAACTGGAAGCAATCTTCCTGCCTCTGCCTACTGAGTGTTGGGATTATTCAGGATTAAGAGCGATAACCCACTTTGTGTTGTTGTTGTTGTTGTTTGTTTGTTTTGTTTTATTTTTCGAGACAGGGTTTCTCTGTGTAGCTCTGGCTGTCCTGAAACTCACTCTGTAGACCAGGCTGGCCTCAAACTCAGAAATCTGCCTGCCTCTACCTCCCAAGTGCTGGGATTAAAGGTGTACGTCACCACCGCCTGGGTTGTTTTTTTTTTTTTATCCTTGTAAGGAACTTGTGAGCCTGGGGTAATTTATTACTTAAAGTTTTTGGGGGTTTTGTTTTGATTTTTTGAGACAGGGTTTCTCTGTGTAGCTCTGTCCTAGAACTCATTCTGTAAACCACATTGCCCTTGAACTAACAGAGATCCACCTGCCTCTGCCTCCCCAGTGCTCAGATTAAAGGCGTGTGCCACCACTGCCCAGCTGCTCAGTTTTCAATGAAGTAAGGTTGAAAGAGGCGAATGAACTTCTTCAGAGAAACAAATAAAAAGCCAAACTGGGCCCAAAATACACACTCCTCAGACCTTCCTGCATCACTTCTGTCTGGTAACAAGTCAGCACATTCTCTTAAACATGAGATCCCACAAGCTCAGGGAGAAGCAGAGGCCCAGGGTCCTCAGAACCCAAGGCAAAGGCTCTCCTGACCATCAAGAGTGGCCTCCCGGATGCTAGAGCTGGCTAAAGGGTACCAGATGATGGGTTTGGCTCTAGCAGGGACCAGACAACCAGAATTTAGAGATGCTGACTTGCACCATCTCCCTCTAGAAGAAAGGCACACCCTCGCCAGGAGCTACTCCAGAACAATGTTTTGGGGAAGGGAGGATCCCTGGTTCTTTATTAAAACCTTTTCTTCTCAGTAGTGTTTGTCCATGGAGGGCCCTGCAACTGTCCCAGAAGATTTTCTTGGTTTCGAAGGTGGCGTTGCTTATGACCAGGAGTTCCTCCCAAGATGAGAGGCTTAAAAAGTTGCAAAAGGGGGGCTTAGAAGTTTTCACTGAGGGGCATTGTGGGGGAGGGCAAGAGGCCGAGAGAGAGCAGTACTAGGGAGGACTGAGCTCATCCTCCAGTTGTCAGGCTGTTGGGAAGTGCTCCCTGGAAGACAAGAAGAATTGTTGACTCTTTACACTTATGGATCCTGTTGTATCCTTCCATCTTTCACCATCGAAGCCATCCACTACCCCTGAGTACATACACCATGTTCCACATAGTCCATAACCCATTTCCCCATGCACACAGCCACCTACGCCCTCCTTCCCCAGCCTTCAACTCTGTCCACCTCATCACCTACTCATTACTCGTCCACCTTCCCACTCTCGTCTCCCACTTACACTTCTTGAGCGCAGGGGCCTGCCTTGCTTTGCTCGGAGCTGCACTCCAGGACAGTGCTGGCATATGGCAAGCAATCAGTGCATGTGGAGTTGACATATCCAGTCATTTCCTCATCTACTCACTCAGCTCAACCATCACTCCCTATCTAATATTTGTTTGCTTTTCATTTTAAACATTTATCTATTATTTACTTGTCTATCTATAGGGTAGGGTCCCCAGCTAACCTAGAACTCCCTCTGTAGACCAGGCTGGACTGGAACTCACAGATATCAACCTGTCTCTACCTCCTGAATGCTGAAATTAAAGGCATGTGCTGCTACACCAGGCTTTTAGAATTTTTTAAAATTTATTTTATGTGTATTGGTGTTTTGCCTTCATTTAGGTCTGTGTACCACTCGTGTGCCTGGTACCTGTGAAGACCAGAAGAGGGTATCAGATCTCTCTGGAACTGGAGTTATGGATTGTTGTGAGCCATCACATATGGGTGCTAGGAATTGAATCTGGGTCCTCAGGAAAATCAACAAATGCTCTAAACTGCTGACTAATATCTCTTTGGCCTCTTTTATTACGTATGTATACTTTCTTTTTTTGTTGTTGTTTTTTTTTGTTTTGTTTTTCGAGACAGGGTTTCTCTGTGTAGCCCTGGCTATCCTGGAGCTCACTCTGTAGACCAGGCTAGCCTTGAACTCTCGAACTCAGAAATCTGCCTGTCTCTGCCTCCCAAGTGCTGGGATTAAAGGCGTGCACCACCACCGCCCGGCATATGTATACTTTCTAAATTCCTGTTTGTTTGAGACAAGGTCTCTCTTGGCTGTCCTGGAACACACTATCAATATCAAGTTGACCTTGAATTTGAAAGAACACCCTGCTCTGTCTCCAGAATGCTGAGATTAAAGGCACATGGCACCATGCCTGGCAGGTCCTAGAGCACAAGCCGCTCCCAGGCTCCCTTTACCAAGGTTCCTCTCTGTATCTTGGCCCATACAATCTCTACTGCTTATAATACTTAGAGCTGTTTTCCTAGGAAATTCTTTCTTTAGGTGTTTCCTTCTTCAGGAAGCTCCATGGTGTCTTTCCTTCCTAGACCAGCTGAGGATGGGGTAAAAATAGCCTTATTGTTTTCAGTTCTTAGGTAGGCGCCATTCCATATTGTGTTGTCATTGGCCATTAACTTGTCCTGGCCTCATTCTAAACTGAATTCTGTTGGCTATGGTGAGTGCCTTTAATCCTACCACTGGGGAGGCAGAGGCAGGTTTGTCTTTGTGATGTCAAGGCCAGGCTGGTCTACATAGCAAATTCCAGGCCAACCATGCTACATAGTGAGACCCTATCTCAAAACAAACAAACAAACAAACAAACAAACCCCTGAATTCTTCAAGGGCTGAGTCTATATCATGCATTCTGTGTCCCAAATGTCTAACTCCTAACACATGGGCAGCACATAGTGGAAGCTGGAAATGATGGAACTGAATGGCCTCATACAAACCTTTTCACGAGGGGATGGCAAAAGGTGTGCCTTGGTTCGGGTTCGATTTCTGTCAGAGCTGGAGATGGCAGAAGACAATAGGATAGGCTGAGAATCATGAACTGGAGCATCAGGAGGGAATAGAATAGAACTTCATGGTTGAAAACTCCCCCTACCCTGCTGGGATGCTGTCAACCCTTGCTCTCTCCCCACAGGCTCCTCTGTCCTGGGAGAAGGACAGAGCCTCACTCACCGGGTGTCAGTGCCTCGGTTCTTGGTGAAGAACACTGGAATTAGAGGCCCCAGTTAAAGGAACAACTTTCCCCGTGGTTAGAAAGAGTTGTGGCTAGAGCAGATGGGGACGAGAGGGCTCCTGGCTAGCGACAGTGAGTGAGTTAGAAGGTAAGGGGGTGACAGTGAGTGAGTTAGAAGGTAAGGGGGTGACAATGAGTTAGAAGGTACAGGGCACTGGGCCTACGACAGGAAATGAGGAGGAAAAAAATGGGCAGATCCCTGGGGAGATCAGCTATGGTTGGAAGGGAGTCAGGGACTGGTCTCTAGATGAAGAGGGAGAACGTTCACCATGTCTAGATATCTGAGTCCCTTGGTCTTTTGTCTGCTTTTCCTTGTTGGGCATAAGATTCAAACGGGAGCGAGCAATAAACAGTGCTTCATCTGTAAGTTCTGTGCTGATTCGGGTCAGGAATTCTTCAGAGCGGGATAATGAGGCTTTCTGGAAAGGAAGTTAGAACTCAGCCTGCAAATTCCCATCCCAGGCTGAAAGCTCTGTGGCTGGGAAATCTGGTATCAGAAGGCTCTGGTATGTGATTTGAATGGAAGGCCCAAGACCCAGAATGCAGTCTGTGGGCCTCAGGGTTAAGGATCAAGAATAAGGCTCAAGGTTCTTGGCTCAGATGGAGCGGCCAGCCTAGGCCTGCCTAGCTCTTCCCACCTCCTTCACTTCTCCATTGTCGTTTACCTGCCCTCCACCTAAAGAGGCAGCAGCTTGAGATGGCCAGGTGTCCTTTTTGTCCCCACTCCTGGCAGATGTGGATGCCATCCCCCTGGAAACAAAGACTGTGTTAGACTGAGAAACCAGCCCCTCCCCTCGGATTCCATCTCACGCCATTCCCCCTACCCAGATTTATTTAGTCCATGACTATAGCTCAAACATCCTACTGTCTCAGTTCTGTCTTAAAAAAAAAATGGTTGTTTCGCCTACTAAGTTGACTGGAGGGACTCTCAGAACAACTCCCTTCCCTATTCCCTCCAGAGCCCTTCTTCCTTCTTTTCTGCCAAGGCACTTCCTTAGGCAAGGCAGCCAACATGCAGCCCCCGACCTGACTGATGGGTTGAAATCTTAGGCTACTCGGCAGGAGGGGAGACGGAAAGTTCTAAGGGGACCCTATGATGGGCCTTAAGGGATTGGGAGTCGGGGGAAGAAGGTTGGGAAGACGGGGAGCCAGAGAAGCGCTCCTCTGGGTTGCTATAAAGACCTAAATGTTTGCGGAAGTTCTATAGTTCCGTTGCTAGGAGACTAGAGATTCTAGAACTAAGGACGTTTTTCCTTGCGTGTCTCAGTGGCTCCCCTGATTCCTTCTTAGAGGCGGTGACCCAGCGTTATATCTAGACGTTTGGGAGATGACATAGAGTGGAACCTAGGCTCTAATCCTCCCACCACCAGGGCGGCGCTAGAAGCAAGCGGCAGGCACGCCCGGAGCCTCTCTAGCCACCTCTTCTCAGCCTGGGTCCCGGAGAGCGACCGTGGCCGCAGGCGTAGAGGGCGGGGAAGCGATGTGGGCTGTACTAAGTCACCCAATCTCTCGGGGAGGCGCGGACGCGGGACGGAGGAATCTCTACGCCTTACCGTTGCCTCGAGGAGTTTACGCCCTCTGTGAAATGCAAAATGCAGATTCCTTCTTAGGTCCCTTCTGCTTCTCCCTTTTCAGTTTCTTCCTTTGCGGGTGGCTCTCGAGTCTCTCCCCTCCCTTGGTGCGTTGGTACGAGCCGAAGTCAAGGGGCCCCGGCAGGAAAAGGAAGCAGGCTGGCCTTAAAGGGACCTCAGCCATTATTTTATTTTATTTTATTTTATTTATTTATTTATATTTAAAAGCCGCTCTCTCCTTCCTCCGATGTTCTTAACGTCCCCGACTGAAGAGTAGGCTCAAGGAGCCAGGCGCACCCGGAGCTGCGGGGCCCGCTGCTGGAGACGGCAGCTCTTACCCATCGGAAGGCCAGGTGTGCGTGAGCTGTGCCCAGGGGTGTCCCGCGCCCCGGCGCCCTGCGGGCTGTAACAGCTGGGATTGCCCAGGGGACCTGGCCCAGGGCTCAGGTGGAGCGGCCGATGCCCCGGGCTGAAAGGTGAGACCACGCTGGTGAGGCTGGGACCAGACCTTGCATCTCCAGACTTGGGCCCAGACGACAAGGGGAGCCGCCAAGATGCCAGAGGAAAATATCTTCCTGTTCGTGCCTAACCTTATCGGTGAGTGCTGCCTGCGGCTCCAAGAGCAGCGGAGGGCGAAGAACCCTAAGCTGGCTCCCCGATCACACCCTGTACCTCTCCCATCCCATCTCAAGGTTATGCCCGGATTGTCTTCGCCATCATTTCCTTCTACTTTATGCCCTGCTGCCCCTTCACGGCCTCCTCCTTCTATCTACTCAGCGGACTTCTAGACGCTTTCGATGGACACGCAGCTCGAGCCCTTAATCAAGGTGACAGAACTTTACCACCACCACCACTACTTGGGAGCCCAAGTTCCCCTGTTCCTTCCCTGCTTTCTCAGAACCTTGCAGAGGACTCTTTCGTTACCTTCTCTGTAAGAAAGTAAAACAGAGCTGCCTGGGATTTAAGCTTGCTCTTGAGGATTGATGACTGTTGTGAGGGACGATCTAGACCAGACGTAGCTTTGGGAATGGAATTCATTCGGGTGTGGCAGTCGTGGCTCCTGCCTGTAATGCCAGCACTGATAAGGCAGATAGAAAGATTGCTCCAAGTCAGAAGTCATCTAGGCTTTGTATTGAGTACCACGTGAGCCAGGACTACACAGTAAAGTCCTGCAAAAATAAAAGTGATGGGGATGAAGGTTAAGTCTGTGCTCAGAGGGGAAGATGCTTGCTGCTCTTATAAAGGACCTAGATTTGATTCTCAGAACCCACATGGTGGCTTACAATCACCCATAGTTCCAGTTCCAGGGAATCCAATGTCCTCCTCAGACCTCTGTGAACACTAGGCATACATGTGGTGCGCATACATATATGCTGACAGACAGATCAATAAACTTATAAAAATGTAAGTAAATAAGAAAATTCCATTCAACAGGTGTTTACTAGGTAGTTACTGTGTGCTAGGCACAGACATTATGGATTCCAGAAGAGAGGCTAGCACTGGGTGTGAGTCAGAAGTTTAGAGCTCTGACTAATTTTGTAGAGTTCTCCAGACCCACCTCTAAAATTGCCCCTGAGACTTTGAATCTGCCTGCCTTTCTTTGGGGCCTGGTTCTGGGTTAGTGGAGTTGAAGAGTTTCCCCACTCCTCCAGTACCTCTCCTGCCACAGCCCCATGCCTTCTCATTTCTTGTCCTCATAATCCGTGCCCTGCTGGCCTCACCATCTGTTGACAGCAACCTGCTTTTCTCCTCTTTCATACTCAGCCTAAAGTGATAGGCCAGAGCAGGTGCCTGTCACGGGTCTACTATACCAAACAGTCCCTTTCCATTTATTAGTCATTATTTTTCAGGAACCCGATTTGGGGCCATGCTCGACATGCTGACGGACCGTTGCGCCACCATGTGTCTCTTGGTCAACCTGGCTCTGCTGTACCCTCGAGCCACTCTGCTCTTCCAGCTCAGCATGAGCTTGGATGTGGCCAGTCACTGGCTGCATCTGCACAGGTCTGCTTTGATGCTGGGGGTGCTGATGAGGGGAAGGCCTTGCAATGGGAGGGAAACTGGGATGACTGCAGGCTTGGGGGTGGTGTCTTCCTTTTTCTTCCCTCCTTGAGACAGCAGCCCAAGGCTTGCTTAGAATTTAGTATGTGCCCAGGTAGGCCTCAAATTCATGACAGTCTTCCTACCTCAGTCCCTGGAGTGCTCAAATTATAGGCACGTACTAGCGTGCCCTGTCCTCAAGCCCCTGGGTGATCCCTGTGTCTCCGAGTGGGTTTGTCGTTTTTACAGGTAGCTTAAGGATTTTCTAGCATGGGCCTGGCTGAATATTTTAGGGTTCCAAGTAGGGGAAGAAATATGGGTGCTTTGTAGCGGGGCATTTAACCCTGACTCCGCCCTGCCTGTCTGCCTTTGAGCTTCACACCAGTTCCCTGTACACTGAGCACTTATGAAGTTACATGCTTTTCTCCCCAAGTTCTGTGGTGCGCGGCAGTGAGAGCCACAAGATGATCGACCTGTCTGGGAACCCTGTGCTTCGGATCTATTATACCTCTAGGGTAAGCATTTCCTGCCCCTCCCCGGCTTGATTTGAAAATGGGAAGTCTTAGGCTGAACACTGGTCAGGAGAGATGATAACAGAGCAGGAGTGGTCCTTGGGCTGAAGCAAGGTGGAGGAGAATTGGTGGGAGGTCGGTGTGTATCACTCTGGCAACCGTGACAGTGAAGCCCCAAGAGAGAGGGAGAGGAGAAGAGAGAGCCCCAAGAAGTATGCAGTATAGTGCAGTGTGCAGCTGGCTGAGAGGCACTCTCCTGTCTGGCAGAAGTCCCTGTGGGTTATGGTAGGGACATGGCCCTCCATCTTAGGCAGCCTTATATTGTGTGCAGCCTGCTCTGTTCACTCTGTGTGCTGGAAATGAACTCTTCTACTGCCTCCTGTACCTGTTCAGTTTCTCCGAGGGACCACTAGGTAGGAAAAGGGGGTGGGGGTGGGGTTCCACCCTGCCCTGCCTGAGGGGAGAGAGTGGCCTCCCTCTCCCACCCCTCCATCCCCTGCTTTCCTTCGTTCTCTCTGCCTCCCCGTAGTTGGCTCTGTGGGGCTTTTCCGGATGGGCCTCTGGATCACAGCCCCTATCGCCTTGCTCAAGTCCATTATCAGTGTCATCCACCTCATCACGGCTGCAAGGAACATGGCTGCCCTGGATGCAGCAGACCGTGCCAAGAAGAAGTGACCGTCTCCCGTCCCCAGCTGCCCACCTGCCTTGGGTGTCTACTGTACCACGTGGCTCCTCTCCTCCTCAGAGGTCCCAGTGTCATGTCTCTCATGTGTTATCTAACCTGCTGGGATTGGGGGTCACCCTCTGTTTGGTGTTGTCACCATCTCTTTAATCCTGATGACTAGACCCAACCTGTGACCCCAAGGACCTGGCGCTGCAAAGCAGGAAGGGTGCTCAGGAGGCCCCACCCATCCAGCTGGTGCTCCAGGAGGCCTGTCTGAAGACTGGGTGTTGCCACACATCCTGCTGGCTCAGTCCTGGGGTCTGGCCTGGGACTTTGGGGACACGTGAGGGCAAAGGAGTCAGACTGATGCCATTGGGCCAAGGAAGCCTGGGGTACCAGGCCAGGGATGGAAGGGGCCAGGGGCCAGGTAGATCCTTCCCTGAGGCAAGCTCCTCTATCCTGTCCTGCTCTGGAAACCTCCGTAATAAAGGGGGGCACCTTCACTCTTTTTGGATTTGTTTACTTTGAGACACTCTTAGATGACGGCCTAGGGCTCAAAGGAGCTGGATAAAAAAAAAAACCACCTGGATGCTTTTCCCAAAAGAGGTGGCTGGCTCCTCCCTGTCATTCCAGTGACCTTAGAGAGGCCTTGTGGCTCTTCAGGTTCACGAGCATTGTCTCTGCTCACCTGCTTTATGTCCCTGGCTGGCCACTTTCATTGTAACCTTGATCTTTTCTTCCCTCACAAGAATGTAAGCGTCATGGAGAACAGACTTACATCTTTCTTGTCTCTGCCTGGGGTGAAAAGTAGCCTGGCATGTGGCAGCTGCTTAATAAATCTTCATGGGAAGATGGATGGTTTCTCAGAGCACGGTCCTTAGGCTGAGTGTGTGTGTGTCTCTTGGTCAACCTGACCCTGATATACCCTCAAGACACACACACACACCAAATACCTCACACCACACTGATCTTGAGTTCCTAAGTGTTTTGCTTCTGCCTCCTGAGTGCTAGGATATGCCACCATATGAAATTTTTGCAGGGGGCGGGGAGGGGGAAGGGGTTCAAGACAGGGTTTCTTTGTGTAGCCCTGACTGGCCTGGAACTCACTCTGTAGACCAGGCTGGCCTCGAACTCAGAAATCCACCTGCCTCTGCCTTCCAAGTGCTGGGATTAAGGGCATGAGCCACCACTGCCTGGCATTGTTTTGTTTTGTTTTTGAGACAGTATTCCTATATTACCCTTTCTAGGCTCAAATGAGCCTCTTACCTCAGTCTCCCAAGTCACTGGAACCCTGGGTACATGCCACTAACTGGCACCAGCTTTCTTTGTTCTGACTTTTTGAGACAGGGTCTCATATAGCCCAGGCTGGTCTCAACTGCTCTAGGGAGTGGAGGATGACCTTGAACACCAGATCTTCTGCCTCCACCTCCCTTGTGCTAAGACTACAATAGGTGCCAGCAAACTTCCTTTTTAAGTGTATTGGGTTGCAGTGCTAGACCCTATGTTGGTGGTGTTGGCAGATATTATTTGCTCCATTCTCATAATAACTTGGCTGTTTCACACACCTTGTGTTTGGGAAAGCTGGCATTCAAGTGCAATTTGGGGGTTTGGGGAGACAAGATCTTCCTATATAGCCCAGGCTGGCCTCAAACTCAAGACCTTCCTGCCTCAGACCTTTGAATGCTGGGTGTGTATCACTATGCCCAGTAGGATGAGGTGTTGATATTTTAAGTAGATCATTGGTGAGGACAGGGAGGGAAGAGTTACTGCACTTGGCAGAACAAACAGCCCACAGAGGCAGGGGTCCAGCGAGCACCCAGGCAATTAGGAGAGATTGAAACAGGTCTCGATCTCTGTGTCTGGAACACTAAGTGCTGAGGTGTAGGAGCTGGTGAGAGCTGAGGCCCCAGCAGCCAGCTGGGCAGCCTACGGAGCTCTAGCTCTCTGTAGGACATTAGACCTCTCTTATGGCTAGCATAAGGAAGTGCTGTTCTTATCAAAGGGCATTATCTCCTGGGCATGCCCCTATGTGAGGTGGCTGTTTGTTGCTGTGCTTGTCTGGAGCCAAATAAAGGGAGGAAGTCAGTTTGGCTCCAAAGTCCACCCTCTTTGCTGTTTCACGTCAGTAGGCTTCTAAAACATGGGGTGCTCTCTGTTTCTGATAGAACCAAGTCCTGCCATGACCTAAAGACACTGCTAGTAACTCTTCTCCCTCCTGTTTGGGGAGGCATTGCAGGATCTACGTGGAAGGGCTGAGGTATTGGTGCTTGGAGAAGGTATTGAGCCACACAAAGTTGATCACATTTCAGATGATCCCGAGACCCATGCCGGGCCTGCCCCAGTAGAGGTGGAGGTTGGGTAGGGAGGCCCTAAGTAATTTTCTGGAAGTAGCCATCACTCCCACCAAATGGATCGTCTGAGTGTCCTCTGCCAAGGTGTCCTCTGCTGTCCTTGCTCCCACAGTCCTGACCCACTCTAGGGCCCTGGCTGTGGTCATTTATGGTGACACCAGCGGCCTTGCTATCTAGGAGTGCAGCTATGTATGATCTTCACAGGGTCATGGGGAAGGAGAGAGTGGGTACTTTGGAGCAGAATGTTGCGCCTGAGGGCCTGAAGCATGAACACTGCTTGAAGGGCACATGCATAGAAGGGCCTCCGTGTCCCTTCAGGTTGAGTCTCAAGTCAGCATGGGACCTTTGGTCTCCTGTTTGGTGGTTGGACTCAACTCCAGAAGAGCCTGCAGGGTGCAGGGATGCATTTACAGCCTAGGACCCACAGGCCTTTGATCTGGAGGCAGGAGCGAGGAAGTCTGGAATTTGGTCCTAGACAGAT